ATTCTTCTATTGCTTCTCTTTTAATACTCTGGTAGAATGATTTATCTTTTGGCTCATACTTTCCTCCGAAGCATGACTATTGGTTCAGGTATATATTACATCCAGTTCGTTGTGCTGCCAAGATTTTAAAGATTATCTTGGTTCCTTGTTTTTCGATTATATATGGAATTATTACTGTGTATCCTCGTGTTATCTCTACTTCTATTTTTGGTGTTATTAGTAGAATAGATACTTCTTCTAATTGTAGTATATCGTATCATTGATTTATCCATCTTTGATTTTTTGGTAAATAATCATAGATCGGTTGTTTAGTGATGATTGTTCTAATCATGTCATTAAGGTTCTCATAATTGTTATTTATTTCAATATAATTCTTTGATATGTTTTTGATATAAGTTATATATTTCTTCGAGGTATATCACATTGATATTCTATTTATCTTTCGATCTCTTGCTAGTTTTCGTTGAATCATTAATTCTAGATCTGGATTACAGTATATTGCTGTTAAATTACTTTGTTTAAGTGTTTGTTCTAATTCTTGTCAAATTTGTTCAAGTATCATTTTTTCTTCTTGGTTTTTAATATTCATTTATTCAAAGAATTTAGTATCTATAAACATTTGGTCCATTATAATGTAGGTTGATTTTTTAATTTGTCTTTTTTCCTGCATCATGGCTAGTTGGAGCCACATTTTTGAAATTTCTGTAATATACACATTTGTAATGTGAATGCGTATTTTTGTATATCACTATACATTAGTTCTAACAGTTTGGATATTTTTGAGGTTAACTCTGGTGTTTGTATTACTCATTGATTACATTTTTTGAAGTACTCCTCAAGTTGTTTTGCCAAAGTTGTTTTTCCCGTAGCTATTGATCCTGTTATGATAATTATATTTGCTTTAATGATATATTCTTCTTTTCGTGAAGTATATGATTCTTTAATTTCCACTGGTTCAAAGTTTTCTTTAATTCCTTGATATATTGGTGTTATTCTGAATATTTGTTCTTCTTCTATTCCTATTTTTGAATCTGGTACTCCTTTTTTTATTCATTGTTTATATCTTTCTTTTAATCATTGGTCTATAAGTTTTTGTAGAACTTTCTTTTTCTTTTTTTGAGTTTCTTCAGGTTCTTGTTGATTCTTTTGCCAATAAAAGAATTTTTGGAATCTTTTTTTGGTTATTAATTCTGTTCTCTTTTCATTGTTTATTATTGGTGGTCCTTTAATTTTTCTTTTTATAGGTTCTTCTTCAAAGAGTCATTCTATTTGTTTATCAGTTATTTCACTTATTTGTAATATTAACTTTTCTTTGTCTAGTTCATGGTTGTATTTTTCTTTTTCAAATATTTCTACTAATACTCTTTGTTGTTTTTCAGTTAGTTCTACTGAACTTTTGTTGGTGTTTTCTTTTGGTAGATTCATTATTGGTTTATTTGTATATTGAAGTAAGTTGTTCTTCTTACTAAATTTTCTGATGATCCTAGTAGATATTCATTTATTATAATATTTATTTGTTGAATTTGATTACAAACTAGTTGTAACTGTTTAGCTGTTTTTTCAATATTTTTTAATATTTGTTCTTTGGTATCACTTCTTTGTCCTTTTATTTTTGTATATATTTGGTTTTGTATTTTGTTTAGAAGTCTTTGTTGTTCTATATTTATTGGGTATTCGAGTCATTTTCTTGTTGTTTTTAGATATTCTTCTTTTAAGTCTTTTTGGACTTCGTCCACAGTTTTTTCTTATAATATCGGTATCCAGTTGTCTCTTCGAGCTCTATTGTTTATTAAAATATTTAGCTCAATTCTTTCTATTAAGAAGTTAAATTGGTTTTTTAATAATTCAATAAATTTATAATATTTATTGATTTCACTCCTTATTCTTCTTTCTGAACTTTCTAATAATAGTTCTAGTATTGTTAGAAATTCCGGTGGTTCCCTTTGTAGTATTTTAGGTCTTCATAACTCTATTATTGGTCAAGTTATTTCTTCTTTGTGTTCTGATAAGAAGTTTTCTAATTCTTCTGGTGGTTCTTGATATGATCCTCCTGTTTCTCTTCTTTGTTTTAAAAGATTGTTTATTATTCTTGGTGAAGGTAATCTTTTGTAATTTGATGTTTGGTATAAGAAGTTATGTTCTCGTGTAGAGCTTCTTCTATTTCTTCTATTTTCTTGTTGTCTTCTTCACTGAAGTCTTATTTATAAGGCTTCTTCTTCTGATTGAGTTCTTACTCCTAAGTTTTGTAAATCTTGTATTTGTCTTTCTATCTGTCATTCTCTATTGCTTTCTGTTGGTCTATTATTGTTTTGTTGATTCATAAATTTTCAAGTAATATTTTGATTTCTCTTTGTAATAGCTCAATAGTTTGTTATTGGATTGGGTCTTCGTCTAGAAGATAATTAATTCTTTTATTTGTTTCGTTATCGTTTAATCCTATTGTTGGGATTGGTAGTTTTTCTTTTAAGTTTGATTGATCAATTTCTCCCTTTTCAAATTGTTCAAGTATTCATTTTATTTCTTTAAGAAATTCTTTTCTTTGTCTTTTATTATGATCTATTTGTACTAAACTTCTTTTCATTAAAAGGTTAAGTTATCTTTTAGTCCTTCTTTAGGATTGTAGATTTCAATTGTTATTGGTTTGAATCCTATTATATCTACGTGATATATGGTATAATTATGTAGATATCTTGGTATGAAATTGTAGTCAAATTTTCTTTCTAATTTTCCTTTAATGTTATACCACTCTAGGTATATTTTTGAATCTAATATTTGGTCAATGTATCCCTTTTTGGTTCCAAGGTAATCTATTGTTGCCAAATATGTTATTAATTTGTTTTAAATATCTTGAATTCTTCTTTCAGAATTAATGTTGTTAATTCAATTTGTTTAGTTCTTTCTATAATAAAGAGTTTGGACCACTCTCTTAATTTGTATTTTTTAACAATTTTACTAGTATTTTGTAATATTATTTGTTGATTAAGATCGATATACTGGTTTTGATAATCGTTTCCTTGTTTATATACTATTGGTTCTTTAATTAATTGCTCTTCTTTCTCCGGTTGTTTTACCATAAGAGTTATTTCTTCTAGTAAATTATTAAGTTTTTCTTTCTCGTTCGAGGTTATTGGTTCTTTTAGATATTGTTCAAATATTTGTACTACTATTGTAGTTTGTTGTTCTATTTTTTCTTTCAGGTTGTTCTTTTCCTTTTTATTTTTTAATTTTTTATTCCTTAAGACTTTCTTTAGATTTTTCCTAAATGAATAGATACAATCTATTTTTTACTTTTCACAATTTTCATACTTTTCTTGGTTCGGTTGTTTTCTGCAATGTGTTCTTCTTTTTAAGCAAAAATTACAGGATTGTTTATATGGTGATTTAATTATTGGCCTTCCTGTTTGTTTTATAGGTGCTCTAAAGATACAGTATATATTTTTCTTTCTACAACTTGTATACTTTTCTTGTTCTTCTTCTTTTTTACAATGTAGTTTCTTTTCAAGACAATTTGTACAATGTCTATTTATTGGTAATTGTGGTCATCTGTAGCTTTTTAGTAATGTATAATCACACTTTTCTAAGTTGTTTAGTGTACAACGTCTACACTTTGTAGATCCTTTTTTTGTATACACTTTGATTTATGATCTAAACAATTTCTACAGCTCTTGTTGTTTTTGTGTTGTTCTACTATTGGTTTCTTTGTATAACAATTTTATTTACTTCTTTAATAATTTCATCAAGTGACTGTTGTTTTCTTTGTACTTTTCCTTTGTGATTAATTCTTTTTTTATTTTCTCTTCTATCCTTGGAATATATGCACTGTATTTTCTTTTTAGTACAGTATTTGCAGTTTGGTGTTTCTTCTTGTTTTATACACCTTCGTTGTATTTTAGAACAGGTTTTATACCTTTTATTTATTCTCATCTACTTTATTTAGTATATGGTTAAGCAATCCTTTTCTCGATGCTTTATTTGGTTCTCTTTTTTCTGTTCGTGAATTTCTTCTTGTTGTTTCACATAATTGCTTTAATTGTAAGCACTCTAGACACTCTTTAAGTCCAAATACCTTGGTATACTTTTTCTTTTCTTGGTGACAATAGTCGCAGGCTTTACACTGTTTTATTCAGTTACTGTTGGTTCCTGAATTTTCAAGGTAGCCAGTCAAAGACTGTTCTTGGTTGAGTAGTGTTGTTATGTTCTTCTGTGGTTAAGTTTCTTGCTTCATTAAGAATATTATTAAGAATATTCTTATATTCTTGAATGTTTCTTTCTTGTGTAAGATTTCTAAGATTGGTTATAAATAGTTCTCTTGTAATAATTTCTACTTGTACAATTATTTCTAGTTCTTCTTTTCATAGAACAATATTTGTTAAGTCAATTGTTAGTTGATTTAATAATACGTATAAGTTTTGTAAAAGTGATATGTTTTTCTAAATTTGTTGTCGTCATTTATTATTGTATAGCTCATTTGTTCTAATGTTTGCTTTAGTTGAATTTTGTTTCTTTAAATACTTTTTGTTGTAGTACTTGATTGGTAATTGTAATGCCTCATTCATTACTTTCCTGTAGTACTTCAGTGTTGTCCCCTTGAAAATATCTTCTCAAAGATCTAACATTGGTGTTTCACAATAAAGATTTCTTTGTTCTTTTGGTAATCTATTTCTATAGCATTTGTTTTAATAAATTTTTGTCATGCTTCCCCAAGGTATGATGTTTTTATTGATAATCCTGTAACCCTTGAGTGCCATCTTGTTGTCTTATCTCATTATGACTATAAAAGCTATTTAATATTTCTAATTCTGGAGCTTGAGAAGAGTAAAAACTAAGGCTATTTATACATTCAAG